AACAATCAACATAAACGCGCAAAACATCATAAACCCTGTCTACCCCCCCCCCCCCCCCGACCTCACCACACCACCACACTGCCTTGCCTTGTAAAGCTGCCAGCAAATAGTAGTGGGAGTTACTTAGATGTATGATTTTATGCGGTATGTGTGTGCGGTTGTCAATGGCGTGTCTGTGTATTTGAGTGGCAATTTGGGCAGCGCAATTCATGTTATAGCCAGATATCGAATATATCTACTATACTCGTTGTATGTATAGGTTAAATATAAAAAGCTTGCTATCGCAGCGATTTGTTTACATTTTTAACCGACTCCCAAAAAAGGAGGAGGTTATCAGTTCGTCGGAATATATATTTTTTTTTTTATGTATGTTACCGCATATCTTTGCACCACGTCAACCGATTTGAATAATTCTTTTTGCAACGGAAAGGTAGTGTCTCAGAGGTGGTCCCATACTAATTTGGTTTAGATACGATCGTTTTTTTTGCTAAAAATTACTTGTTATTGTTTCCTGTTAGCGCACTAATCCACAACGATATGAACTCATACACTGTTATGTCCTTACGCACATACTTTGTACATACTCGTACATATATATGTTTGTTTGTTCATGGCATGCATGAGCGCATATTTGCAACTAAAAACAAAGCCAATTTCAACTGATAGATATTTGGCTAAGCTATTGACTGTACATACATATATGTAAATGGCTGAATGCATGTGTTTTTACATACATTTGTATGTAGGTAGATTTGCGCAGAATATTGCAAATATAATAAACACAGCGGCAGCACATAGACTGCCAGTTCGGGGTCTCTAACCTCCCAAATTCCAAATTGGTGAGAGCTTCACAGTGACACAGTCTGCATACATTGTATGTAGTAGGTGTAGCGACCCAACCTCTGCCAGATAAAACGTGTTACGCAAGTATCTGTATGTTAACTCTGTCTATCTCCAATAATCGCGGAGATCCTTCTTTATCCACCCATCGCAAATAGTTTAGGTTAATGGGTACCCGATGAAGTTCAAGTAAAGAGCTTCTAAGCTAAAAAAGACCTTATTTCCTTACGTCTGTATGACGAGTTATGAAACGATTTTCCGACATCCCTTGCCAAATTTGATTTGGAGACAAACCGGTTTCGGCATTGTGCCATGCTCAGTGGTTTGTTCTGAGTAAATGTGACTTTCTTTATGAGACCGCCAGCGCAGTTCTGGCTAAGGTAATTGAAAGTCTTTCGTAAGGCAATTAAAATACAGTAGGCGAGATGGTTTAAAAAACAGGAAAGTCTTACAAACAAAGCTCCCTTGCCAACTTTTGTGATGAAAAGCACTTCTATATAAACAAACAAAGTGAGTTCTTGGGCGTCAGTTTTTTTATAATTTATTATTTTCTTATTTTTTAATTTAATTTTCTTTAATTTTTAATTTCACGAGAAAAATACATACATATATATTTTTTTTCATTTAATTCTTAGAAACTTATTTTGT